ATCCACTCACCTCAGCCTCCCAAAGGCGTGGGATTACAGGCTGGGCCACCAAGCCCGGCTTCCCAGGCTGGTCTTGAGCCCGTGGGCTCAGGCAGTCCTCTCACCTCGGCCTCCCGAAGTGCTGGGATTATAGGTATAAGGCACTGCACTGGCCCCAGCAGTCATTTTAAATAAGGCAGCAGAGAGGGCAGGGCTGTGACCAGCCTTGCAGACACGGGAGAAGAGTTTCCAAGTCAGGCTTCAACACACATTGCCTTTGATGGGGTGAAATTGCAAGATGCCCTGCAGAACTCATGCAGAAGGGTGAGGAGGTGGTTTGGGAGGGGAGATCCTGGCAGCTTTGCCGAGTGAGACATCCCTCAGGCAGGGATCTGAAAGGTGAATGGGGGCTCAGGGAAATGTGAAACTGCCCAGTGTGTTCAGAGAACTCCCAGCAGGTGTGTGCAAGAGGAAAGGTTGAGGCTGCTTGCTGGGGGTGGCCAGGGAGCTACCAAGGGGGGCTCCAGCAGACTGGCAGGTGATCAGATCTGCACTATAGGAAGAGCCCTCCTGCCGGCAATGTCCCAAGTGACTCGAGGTGGGGACCAGGGAAGTTGCTGATGCCTGGACCATGGATGCTGGAGAAGCTGGATTGGAAGGGTGGCAGAAGGGATGAGCTTGCCGACCTGGGGATGAGAGGGTGTGGTGAGGGAGGAAGGGGAGAGCTGGGACTGGCCAGGGGTCAGCTGGGCTCCAACCCAGACCTGAGGAACATGGTGGAGAGAGGTGGGGAGCACTGGGGACACTGGAAGGTACCTGGGACATATCCCCGTAGAGACCCTGCCCCCAGTTTATGACCCCTGACCTCAGCCTCTTTTCTTCCACAGGTTGCAGCCAAATGTGGTCTCTTCTTGTAAGTCTAGGACTTTAGCCGTAACTTCCATTGGTGGGGGTGGGTTGGGGGGTGCAGGATGGGAGAAGACCGCCTAAATCCTGCCCTGCATGTCTTGAGGGATGTAGGGGACACAGACAAATCCATCAGCTTCTCCCAGTCCAGCCAGAAACCATCCTTACGCTTTCCCACCTAGAGACGGGGACTCCACCCTCTCCTTCCCTCCCTCCACTCCCAACCAAGGGGAGTTTCCAGGGGACAGGTCTGTGGCCTTAATCCCTTCTTACTGCACTTCGGTCCTCTCCCCTCTGAGAGTCCCCTGGCGCCAGGGTTGGGGGCAGGCAAACAGTCTGTGCTGCCCTCCTATGTAAATCCCAGGAGCCTGAGCATGGTGAGGAGGGGCTGGGGTGGAGACCCCATGCAGTCAGGGTTCCTCCCCCTCGAGCCAGCCCCTGGACACTCCAGGGGACCTTTCTGGACCTGCTCAGGGTTCGATGAGGATGTCATAGCTACCGCAACATGCAATCCTCACACCCGCCCCGTAGGGTTCACCTGTACTACAGATGAGGAAACAGACTCAGCCAGAAGCAGTGGCTGGGCTCAAGCACACAGGGCCAGTCGTGAGTTGAGCCTGGAACCCAGGTCCTGAGTCCCGGCGCCCGGTTCCTCCCCCAGAGCTCAGAGGGGGCCCTTATCCTGTGTCCTGAGCATGTGGGTAGATACTTACATATATAAAGAGGGGAGGCCGGGATCCTCCTGCCTCCGCCCTTGGCGCCAACAGCCTCTGCCTGCTGCTCTCTGTCCCCTGACCAGCACTTGCCCCCAAGGATTCAAATGCTGTGGTGACAGCTGCTGCCAGGAGCCCGAGTTGATGATCTCTGGCCCCCTGAGGTAAGCTGGGGGCCAGGTCCTCGGGTCCAGTCCTTGAAGGGGGCTTCGTCCATACAGGACAGGGCCGGCCACGCTGCCGAGGGGGCAGTGGAAGCTGAGGGCGGGAAGCGTGGCGGGGGGGTGGGGTGGCCTGGAGACTCACAGTGATACTGGTGCTCCCCCTCCAGGATCTTCATTATCATCTTCCTGGTCGTCCTGCCCCTCCTGTGTATCTGTGGCCTGGCTAGGCGCTTCTGTCGCAGCTGCAGAGAGCCAGAGCCGAGCAACCCGGTGGACCGCCAGGGGCCTCCAGAGCTGCCCTCCGTGGCACCCCCAGAGAGGGTCGGGGTGCCCATCCCTGAGCCCCCACCCCCCTACAGCGAGGTGAGTGTCTCCATCCCAATCCCTGTCTAGCTCCTGACTGGCTGTACCTCGCTACTGTCCAGGTTGTTAGAGCAGCGGGGACCACGGGGGGTGTCACTTAGGCCAGACCCCTGGACCCTGGGGGGCTCTGCACCCAGGACTGGATCACCCCCTTTCTGGTGACCATGCCTCCGCTGGAACGCAGGAATGGTGGCCAGTGAGAAGACTGAGTCCCCTCTTCTCCCCGCAGGTTGTCCTGAAGCCCACCCTGGGCCTGACCCCCTCGGAGCCGCCCCCCCCCTACAGTCTTAGGCCTGACGAGTACTTGGGGGCTCAGAGGGGCATTGATACCCCTGCCTTCTGAGCCACTTCCTGCCTGGGATCCTGCCTGCAGCAGCCTCCTCCCCAGGGCCTCCTGGATCAAGCCAGAGACTTCCGGGACCCCTGGAATTTCCCCTCCCATCCACCACATCTCTGGTCACTCCTGGATTTAACTTATTGCTTTCCTGCTCCTGTTCTACCCCAGTTACCTTTCTTGTCCCAAGGGCTGGGCTGGAGAGACTGTATTTGCCCTCCCCCCCGCCCCCCCCCAAAGTGAGAGACTGCCAGGAGGAAAATACCAGCTGTTGGAGGTGCCCAACAGTGGAAAGGGCTGCTCTGAGGGGTGGTGAGAGCCCTGTGTCTGGAGGAATGTGACTCGCGACCAGCTCCAGGGTGCTATGAGGGCACTTCTGTACCCGTGGGAGATTGGACTGAATAGATACCGCCTCATTGTGCGCCCCCCCAGCCCATGCATAAAACAAGTGCTGCTAAATGTTAGCTGACACAGCTGAGTTGGCCGCTGGCTATGTGGCGAGGTGAGGGTTATGGAGGGGGATCACTGCACCAAAGTCCTGCCGCTGATGAGTCCTCCAGGAGGTCCATCTGTGGGCCATCCTCGGGGAAAGGCTCTTGGCAGGAGCGTTGACCTCTAGTTCCTTGAAGTCTCTGGGTGCTAAGAAACCTGGCAGTGGCGTGGGCGTGGCTAGTGTGTGGGTTTCCCGATCCCTCCTCCAATCCCCGGCTGCCCTGCCCTGTGGGTTGGTAAGAAGTCTGCCGGGAGGCGCTGGATCCAGGAAGCTGCCCCGGCCCAACCTGGAAACCACCCGCTAGGAGAGGGTGGGGTGAGGAGGAGGCCAAGGAGAGGGGCGTGGGTGGGGCAAGGCATCTGGCAAAGGCCTCTCCCCCTCCCCACCCCCACGCCCGCCTTGATCCGGAGACCTTGACCCGGAGACCTTGATCAGCGGCACCACCCTGGAGTCTCGAGGGAGGAGAGGAGAGGAGAGAGGGCAGGTCCCACCCTGCCCGTGGGAGTTAACTCCTGGGGGGAAAGAAGTGTTCACCCGGCAGAGAGGAAGAGCCTTTGCTGGGCGGTGGGGCTGGGTTCCCGGCACGGTCATGCAGAGAAAGGAAGTCCCCGTGCCCATGCCTGGGGGCTCAGGCGGGGCTGGGCACCTCCACCAGTGCCAGTCTCAAGGCTGACTCAAGCTCCTGGGAGGATTGTAGGTAGAACTGGCCCTGATGTGTGGCAGGAGTGCCTCCTCCAGGGTTCTCCCACTAATACTCATCCTCGGGACATCGGGACCCAGGCAGTTGGCAGGGCTAGAGGTGGAGAGATGGAACAAACAGCCCCAAGGTGCCAGGAGCAAGGGCTGTCTGGGTGAGGGGCTCCTGGTGGAGTGGGGCCCCAGAGGGGGCACAAGCCTTACTGACAAGTTAACCAGAGTCGGCCGTATGAGAGTGGTAGAGTAAATGGAAGCTTCCTTTCAGTTTCAGAGATTGGGCCGGCTTGGGGGCTCAGCCTGTAATCCCGTGCTTTGGGAGGCCGAGGCGAGTGGATTGCCTGAGCCCGCGGGTTCGAGACCCGCCTGGGCAGGCGAGACCTCATCTCTACAATAAATCAAAAACTAGCCAGGCGTGGTGGCGCGCGCCTGTAGTTCCAGCTGCTTGGAAGGCTGAGGCGGAAGGATCGCCGGAGCCCAGCAGGTTGAGGCTGCGGTGGCCGGGAGCGTGCTGCACTCCAGTCTGGGCAACAGAGTGAGACTCCAACTCAAAAAAAGAAAAAGTTTCAGAGATTGGTTGGGGGTAGAAGGAAATAAATGGGTGCTTTGTGTAGATGTGGCCGCTCCAGTTAGAGAAACCTCAGAGCTGATGTTCCCCTCTGTGTGGTCAACGCCCACCACAATGGGAGAGGGTTGAACAATGGGTTTGAGAGTCCTGACAGGAGGTCACCCTCAACCTGGATGTTGCCTTCCTTTTTTTTTTTTTTTTTTTTGTAGCAGTGGCATGCTCATGGCTACTGCAGCCTCAACCTGCTGGGCTCAGGCAATCCTTCTGCCTCAGCCTTTCAAGTAGCTGGAACTACAGGTGTGCGCCACCACGCCTGGCTAATTTTTTTGATTTGTTGTAGAGACCAGGTCTCACCAAGTTGCCCAGGCTGGTCTCGAACCCCTGGACTCAGGCAGTCCTCTTGCCTCTGCCAACCAAATGTTGGGATTACAGGCGGAGCCACTGCACCTGGCAACACAGGGTCTTTAACTCCTCCCGGGCAGCAGCAGAATGGCCTGAAGGAAAACAGCCATCCTGGAGTCCAGCGCTACCATGAACTGGTGGCAGAAATAACCACTCCTATGACTCTCCTGGTCATTCTTGGTGGGAGTGGAAACGACATGACCTTCCTAGAGGGTGATCTGGTTTCATCCCTTCCACAGATATTTACAAAGCTCCTACCTTGTGTGAGGCACTGTGCCTAGCCCTGAGTGTCCATTAAGAAATGTACATGACCTGGCAATTCCACTTCTACAGCCTTCAGAAATGCTCATATGAAAAAGCTCTTGCCAGGCTTGGTGGCTCAGCCTGTAAACCCAGCACTTTGGGAGGCCAAGGCGAGTGGATTGCCTGAGCCCATGGGTCCGAGACCAACCCAGGCCACTTGGCCAGACCTCATTTCTACAATAAATAAAAAATTAGCTGGACATGGTGGTGCGTGCCTGTAGTTACAGCTACTTGGAAGGCTGAGGCGGAAGGATCACGAGCCCAGTAAGTCGACGCCGGGGTGACCATGAGTGTGCCACTGCACTCCACCCTGGGTGACGGAGTGAGACTGCAACTCAAAAACAAAACAGTAAAAGCTTTCCACTCATAAGTGGACCCTGAACAATTATCATAATACTATAAAAAGTGGATTGGCAGTAGTGGGAAACTGCTGGGGGGCACACTTCATCAATAAGGGTGCCTGATCTCAAACCAGGCGAAATGGGGACCAAAGTAAAGCTTGGTCAATTACCTGTACAATGACCATTTGTATGTCTAATCCTGAATTGTACCCCACATCTTTAAAATAAAAAATAAAGAGCTCTCTGCAATGTCCGCTGCAGCATTAGAGTGGGCAGGGTGGGGGGAGGTGGTAAATGGAAACATCTTAAATGTCCCTTGACAGGAGCCTCCTAAACCCAGTACATTCATGCTGTGGGCACCATGCCTTTTATATAAGTACCATGCTAACTGATGATGCCACTGTTGGGGACAGCCATTTAAAGAATAAAGTAGATCTGAGGCACCGATCCTGTACTGTGTCCATCATTTATTGTATTTTTGTTTGAGTGGGAGTCTCACGGCCACTGCGGCCTTGACCTGCTGGGCTCAGGCAATCCTTCTGCCTCAGCCTTCCAAGTAGCTGGAACTAGACCCGCACCACCACCATGCCTGGCTAATTTTCTGATTTACTGTAGAGAGGACGGCCTGCCATGTGGCCCAGGCTGGTCTTGAACCCATGGGCTCAGGCAGTCCTCTCATCTTGGCCTTCCAAAGTGCTGGGATTATAGGCACCGTGCTTGGCCCTTCATTTATTGTTACAGAGAAAAGGCAAGTAGCTGAACAATCGCTGATGATTTTAAGTATATACTCCATGCGTATTGTGTATGTCTTTTATTTGTAAATATAAAGGTAAGATCTAGAAGAGTAAAAGCCAACCACACTTTTAGCAGGTACTGGCACTGGTGGTGGGATGGAAGTAGTCAGTTGTAAGGAGGCTTTTGACTGTGTGCTGTGGCATCGTGTGTGTGTGTGTGTGTGTGTTTTAACAAGAATCAAGCGTTGTTTTTGTGCATTTAAAAGAGATGATTTTACTGAAAAATACAAGCAACTTTAGAAGTTTCTGAAGATTCACCTTGTGAACTTTGATCAAAGATTCACCTTGTGAACTTTGATCATTTGATGTATTATCAGTCCTGCTAAGAGGCTGGAAGGACTTTAGATATGAGGCGCACAAATCACATGTATGCGGCCCAGGAAAGAGACAGTTAATAGACTGGGAAAGGCTGGGTGCCCGCCAGACACATGAGGAATGCGTGAAGATCACATGTCCAGCCTGTGCGGGGCTCATGATAGACCCTGGCTATGTGGTCAATAAGAGAAACAACGAACACCTGACTGGCTGAGTAGTTTTGGTGGATGAGCAGTTTTACAGTGACTGGGAACTTATTCCTTGTGGCTGGATTAGCAGTTCAAACTCAATGGATGGAGAAGGACAGGTGGAGTCACTTAAAGAATGATTGAGTGCATGAGTCAGTGAATGAATGAATGAATAAATGTGGAGACCTGCCAACAGATATTCCTAAGAAACAACCTGGTTAAGACCAAGGAGATAGCCGGGTGCAGTGGCTCACACCTGTAATCCCAGCACTTTGGGAGGCAGAGGCAAGAGGGTTGCCCAAGCCCAGGGGTTCAAAACCAGGCTGGGCAACTTGGTGAGACCTGGTCTCTACAATAAATCAAAAAATTAGCCAGGTGTGGTGGCATGGCACCAGTAGTTGTAGCTACTCAGAAGGCTGAGGTTGAAGAATTGCCTGAGTGACAGAGTGAGACTCTGACTCAAAAATAAATAAATAAAACCAAAACAAACAGACAAAAGATCAAGGAAATAGATGTTGCTTGTGGCTGTGCACTTAAACTTCGACCTGCAGGGGATTCCCCAGAGGACTTGGGGGCAGGAAGAGTTTTGGGGTGAGGAACATGTTGAGAGGGGGAAGTTCTTAGGGTATTTGCTCCAGGGACAGTGGGAGGAGGAAGGGCTGCAACTGACCAGGGGAGTATGGGGGCGGGGGAAACCATCAAGAATCTCCCCTCATCCCAACAGCTGAGATTCAGAATTCCAAGGCCAGGCGCGGTGGCTCACGCCTATAATCCCAGCACTTTGAGAGGCCGAGGTGAGAGGATTGCCTGAGTCCATGGGCTTGAGGCCAGCCTGGGCAACTTGGTGAGACCTCATCTCTACAATAAATCAAAAAATTAGCCAGGCATGGTGCCTCATGCCTGTAGTTCCAG